CAATAAAGTGAACAGCCATCAGCTACTCCCGGAGGGTATTTCTCTGTGCGCCTGTCATCCTTCACCCCACATCTGCCCCGACCTGGTGCGCAACGTGTCCGGGCACCATTGAGGGAAAACTGTTCCCCAACAGCCTGCCACAGAGGAAAGGGGTGGGATGGGATGGGGTGGTGGGGGAGATACTGGGGTCATTGGTGGTGGGAAATGGAGGGATTGGTGTTGGATCATTGTGTGACTGAAACTCAATCATGAAAGTTTTGTAACTATCTTGCAGTGATTCAATTAAAAGGAAAAAAAGGTCTCTTTCTTTTCAGGGATGGGAGGAGCTGGGGGCTCAGGGCCCCGTCCTGGCAGTTCTTGGCCAAGCAAGCCACTGATTCCATGTGAGGGACTGAGGAAACAGCTTTGCTTGGATTACTCAGGTTACCCCAGATGGTGTTCAGGGGCCTCAGGGTCACAGCTGGCTATGCCCAGGGGACCACGTGGTGGCCAGGATTGAACTGGGTCAGCCACATGCAAAGCAGGCATTGGAACTTGCACCGGATCCTCTATAATATCTCCCCTGCCCCCCAAACTTCTATTTGGAAAGAGGGGTGGTGGGGGAGATACTGGGGTCATTGGTGGTGGGAAATGGAGGGATTGGTGTTGGATCATTGTATGACTGAAACACAATCATGAAAGTTTTGTAATTACCTTGCAGTGATTCAATTAAAAGAAAAAAAGGTCTCTTTCTTTTCTGGGATGTGTGGGGGTTGTGCTGTTGATATTCTCAAACTGCCTGTTTGCTAGAAAGTAGACCGCCCTCTGCCTTCTCTGATCTCTCAAAGACTAAGGAGAAATGAATCTTCTTTTTGCTAAAAAGAAGATTCTTCCCTGATCTTGTTGTCCTATAAAAAGCTTTTCCTGTGACTACGCAGACAAGACAGTCACCATGAGGCTGTGAACCAGTCAGATCCCAAGCTGCAGGCTTCTTGCAGTAAAGCCCATTCTTGACCCACCCAAAATAGACAGAGACAGAAAGGTACACAGAGGGGTCCATCTCCAGACCTCAGCAGACCATCGACTCAGACTCTTCCAGGCACCCCTTCTCCGCCATCCTGCCCAGCACATTTCAGAGTGGGGGGGGGGCACCCTCTCTGCTGCCAATGCCTCCCTCTTGGGGGGTGATCTTAGGGGAACTGAAGAATGGGCTGACACCACCAGCTAATTTTACTCTTAACTCAGACCAGAGGTAACTTTGCAGTTTATTTCCAGCTTTATTGAGGGATGAAAATCGTATAGATTTATGGGCTAGAAAAATCTGCAGCTGGTAGGTGCTTGCCCTACACGCAGCAGACCCAGTTTCAATCCCTGGTACCCCATTTGGTCCCCCAAAACCCACCAGGAGTAATTTCTGAGTACGTAACCAGGAGTACCCCTGAGCAAGTCAGGTGTGGCCTAAAAGCTAAACAAACAAAAAGTAAAGACGTCAGGTCTTCCATAGGATGTTTCCTGTTCTATGGATACAGTCAGTGTAAAATGGTTACCCCAATTCTGGTAATTAACACATCTATTGGTTCAATAGTTGCCTTCTGGGAAAGTGAAGTGAGAATGCTTGGGACTACTCTTAGCAAATTTCAAGAATTTAAAATATGGTCCTATTTTAATTTGGTGTTTTAATAAAGTGTCAACAGTAGTCACCAAGCTATACATTAGATCTGCAGAATCTATTTGTCTTATAACTAAAAGTCTATTCTTGGGGCTGGAGTGATAGTACAGCGGGTAGAGCATTTGCCTTGCACACGGCCGACCCGGGTTCGAGTCCCAGCATCCCATATGGCCCCCCAGCACCACCAAGAATAATTCCTGGCATGAGCCAGGAGTAACGCCTGTGCATCACCAAGTGTTACCCCCTAGAAAGAAAGAAAAGAAAGAAAGAAAGAAAGAAAGAAAGAAAGAAAGAAAGAAAGAAAGAAAAAAAGAAAGAAAGAAAGAAAGAAAATGAAAGAGTCTATTCTGCTATTCCACCCCTGGTAACCACCATTCTATTTTGTTATCATGAATTTGGGTTTTACACTCACATACAGGTGGGAACGTGCAGTATTTGCAATTGCTTTTGAGAGAATGAGTCCAGATATTCCTGTAGTCATCTTTTATTGCTTGCATCATTCCCTAAATCTGTTATAAATATATTCCAAACTAGAAACTCACAGACATGGAACAACTTATCCATTGAGTTACTCTATGGCTATTATTATAACCCTTGTGCTGCTTAAAATTTTATCAGGGAATGATAACAAACATTTACATCTGTCTGGATCATGTTTAAGGAAAAATAGGTCATCAGAGACCAGCTTCTGTGCTGTGTATGGGTTGGGAGACAGCGGGCCATCTCTTGGGGCACACCAAACCCTTGAGTCTCTGATATGCTTTTAAAAATGTGTATGTTACAACAAGTAGTAACAAAAATTGTTCCATAATTTCTTACAAAATTAAAAATGTCTAGGTTGTCTTCATATACATTGCATTAAAAAATGCCTTTTAGAATGAAGCAACAGAGTAGGTTTATCTTATCATTTTACTTTATATCACTTTAGTCCAGCATACATAACATGTGTTTGTGCATATAACTTCTTGACACCTCTTAAACCTTATGAAAGCAGACTCCTTCTGTGCAGGACAGGTTCTACCTGAGATAACCAAGTGGTAGAAGACGTGCCTACATGTTCACAGCCCTTAGTTCATTCTCCAGAACTGCATGGCCTGAGAACCACCAGCTATAACTATCGAGTTATAGTGCTTCTGAGCACCGAGCTGTAGGGTCCACAGCAAACTGATCTGTGTCCCCTCATCCTTCAGACCACTAAGTGTGACCTCTATGGAAGAAATTTTCAAAGGAGGAAGAGAATGAGGTGGGAAGGAGGGGAAGAAGGGGGAGGAGGAAGACAAGGAAGAGGAGGAAGAGAAAGAGGAAGAAAAGAGGAGGAAGAAAAAGAAGAGGAGGAGGAGGAAAAGGAAGAAGAAACTTGAAAACTACTACAAAAGCAAGTTCCTAGTATTAATATTTATAGTACTAAAATTTCTATGCAAGAATTAAAAAAACAGGCTGGAAATAATCTAAACTTCCATCACAAGAAACTGAAACAAGAAATGAGAGAGGAGGAAGAGGAGGAGGAGAAAGAGGAGGAGGAGGAGGAGGAGGAGGAGGAAGAAGAAGAAGAAGAAGAAGAAGGAGGAGGAGGAGGAGGAGGAGGAGGAGGAGGAGGAGAGGAAGGGGAGGAGGAGGAGAGGAAGGGGAGGAGGAGGAGGAGGAGGAGGAGGGGGAAGAGGGAGGGAGAGGAGAAGGATGGGGAGGAGAGAGAGGAGGAGGGGGAGGAAGAAGGAGGAGAGGGAGGAAGGAGGAGGAAGACTTGCTATGCTTAATAAAGAGAAGTGAAAAGGGCAGCTGGATAGAGAGAAAAGCAGCAAGGTTAGAGTTCAGTTCACTGATGCACGTGGCAGCATCATGGTGAGGACGTTAAAGGGACAGACACAGAAGGATCTCCATGTGTGGGACATATAGAATCTCTGTAGGGGAATAACAACTGCGCAAAAGCAACAGAAACTGAGCGCTCGTCTTCATTAGGAAGCTCACCAAGGAGGCCAGGGAGAGGCACTGTGGGTGGAAGGTGGAAGGGAGCAGATTCCAGTGGAGGGCCCGTGCTGTAGTGTCTCATGTAGTAAACCATTCTAGTAACTGTTTGTAAACCGTGGTGCCTAAAATAAAATCTTTTTTAAAGTTGGGTTGGGTTCTTGGAAAGTAATATAGTGGATAATTCCCAAGAGAGACATATCAAGAAAAAAAATGGGGTATGTCAAGAAGCCGGAGAGATGGCCCAAAGGTCTGAATCACATACTTTGCTTGCAGGAGACCTGGATTCGATCGCCAGCACCGCCCGGTCCCCAAGCACCACTGGGGATGGACTCCTGAGTGCCGGGTCAGAAGTGACCCTCAGGCACTCTTGGGTGTGACCCACCCCCCAAAGTGGGAGAGATATAAATGATCAATGTCAGAAACAAATAAATATTCAACATATGTAAGACAGTGAGAATGAGGAGGAGGAAGAAGAGGAAAGGAAGGATGTGCTTTGAAGCCACTCAGAGTAATCATTACAGTGACTGTTGCATGTTTTTAATTGGGGGGAGAGGAAGGTTGGGAGTCACACGTGGCTGTGCTCAGGGCTTATTCCTGGCTCAGGGCTCAGGGTCACTCCTGTGGTACTCAGAGAACCATATTCCATGCCAGGGAGAGAATCAGAGTTGGTTAGATGCAGGATAGTCACCCCACCCTGTACTATCTCTCCGGCCTTTTACTTTATTTTTCTCAGCAATCTTTTACTGGGAGAGCACAGGCAGCACCCAAGCCTGGGGAAAGAACTCAGGTGTACTTTGAAGTCTCACAGAGCTGAACTCATATTGTCTCTGCTGGAGCTCAATGCAGGACTTCAGTGAACTGCATAACCTCGGCAAGCTCCTTCTGCCTCACCAGACAAATGGGAGACAAAGGAAGGGTTTGTGAGAGTGCACCAAACACGTGGGGAGCTTCTGTTCTACCAGACACTTTCCCAAAAAGTCCCACAACTATGGTAGAGTCTGGCAACCTGTACGCCCTGTCGGGAGGGGCCCCTGGGACAAGATTATTCATTCAGAAGTGTAATTCTTTCTCAAAAGATTCTCTGTTCACCGTTCTTGACTTGTACAGGAGAGGTTTCATGGGAACCATTCTTGGATATAAAGGATGTTACTAACATCCCAACAATGCAAAAGCTTCATCTGGAATGAAAAATAATATTAAATAACAGAACATTTTGTTCTAATAATATACAAATCATTATTTTTTTTACTATTATGAGCTGACAGTTTTCGAACTGAGCCATGTCTCCACACCCCACACAAACGCCAACAACAGGATTGTGAGACTTGTGGTCGGGGAAGGCTTCCTTCTTAGACATTCATAGGAGGACGAAGGAATCTCCAAATCTGCATCTTCTCACCAGCATGTCTACGGAGTCAGGAACCTCAATGCCAACCACCAAGGCCCAAAGATCTGGAACAACTCTGTGGACTCTCTCACATTTTAGACCTGCAAACTGAGTGCTCAGAGCTCTTCACACACTGCAGGAAGTTGATGGGCCTAGAAGAAAGTGAAATGGGAATCAGCAGAGCTAGACATGTGGTAAGTTCCTGGCAGCCAGTGGAAGAAGCCCCTCTTCTTAGGCACATGATTACCTGGGGTTTCTCACGGGTGTATAGTCTGGGGGGAGAAGAGAAAGGGTCTTATTCCTTATGGCATGACTGCTATAGAAAAAAAATCCTTCTGAACCTTTTAAAGCTGCCTTTGCTTTTTCTTAAAAAGAAGAGAACATGAATATGCTTCTTAATTAGCTGCTAATGAATTGGGAACTCAATTTGGGGGGGAAATACTAATTAGGCTGTCAAGATAGTCTCTCAGAAATATGTTATTAAGATTATAAATACATATCTAAGTTTTTATAAATATATAAATATAATAGCTAGTGCCACATTACAGTGACACCTTCTTATATTTTTGGTAACACATTAAAGGCTTGAGCTGGTCTATGTCATGAGTGAAATGAGCCCATGAGGGCCGGTCAGGAGTCACGCAGCCCTGCTGCCTCCAGAGAGGCTCTTCTCTGAAGGTAAATGCCCAGACATGTAAATATACCCTCTTCTTCAAGAAAAAAGTCCATTACCTGTAGTTATCCTGGCAAGCAAATGTAATATTCCTTTTATTCATGATCGATCTCAGATCATTTATGGAGGAACTGGAACATGAGTCTCTAGAAGAGAAGAAGAGTGTTAATATAGCATATACAGGACCAGAGAGACAGTCCAGGGCATAAAGTATTTGCCTTGCTTGTGGCAAACCCTAATTCAGTCTCTGGTACCACATACTATCCCCCAAACACTGCTTGGAGTGACCCCTGAGCACAGAGTCAAGAGCAGCCTCTGAGCACCACCTAATATAGCTTCAAAACCCAAAACTAAACTAAAATCACATAACCAGAAGGCCTTGATGCACTACCACTTGAGGGGGTGTGGGGGGCATCAATCGAGAGAAAGTACTTTATAGGCGACAAGTCAACAGGCTGGAAGATGGCAAACTCATGGGCTGGAGAACCATCTCGCCGCTGTGGTCTCCGGAAACAGCTTATGTAGAACAGCAGGTGGTTCTAAGTTTTAGAAAGGGCAGGTGGAGACTGGAGGACATCATTGTAACTGCTAAATCCCTTCCTAGGCAGGTCCACTGAGGCATGGTCTAATGTATCTGCATAGGTATCTATCTATAGGCTTTGGGGGAGGGATAAGAAGGGACGCATTTTTAACATTCTCATCAACACAAATGCAGAAACGCAACAGTTTTGTTGAGTCAAACTCTTACATTCCTTTCACGAGTTTCTATATACAGGATCCCGTTTGACTGGCTTCTGAGTACTCACAGGTTAGACTGGGAGCTAAAGGCTGAAGGTAGATTATGGAGGTAAGATTTAGAGGTGGTTGGGATGGGATGAACACAGAGGAAGGGCCTTTGCTTGGCCCGTCTGCTGTCTGTGCATATAGATTCATTCCTGGACTGACTCCTCAACAAACCCTGAGAATGTATGAGTCCAAAGTCGTATCAAATACCTGGAAACTCCTCCGATGTCATGCACCACCCAGGCTTGTAGGGTATGAACCCTTGCTGGTTGCAAATTAAAGACCTCCACACGCCCAAAAGTGCTAAGATAGAACAGAACAAAGAATAAAAAGCATTATTAACCTCCAAAGGGAATGTTCAGGGATCCTAGACACGTGTGAAAAGCCCTCAAACAGGACACCATTCATGAGCATCCTCTCTTTGGAATTGACCTATGATTTGCCTTAGACACAGTGAGTGACTCATGTGACCCTCAAGGAGTAAGATATTCAAAGCGAGAATCTTAGTCTGTACAAGGATGTTGATTTTTTTCTTTTCTTTTTGGGTCACAAAAAGAAACTTTTTGGGGCTAGAGCGATAGCACAGCGGTAGGGCTTTTGCCTTGCGTGCAGTCAGCCTGGCTGAGATGGGTTCGATTCCTCCGCCCCTCTCGGAGAGCCCGGCAAGCTACCGAGAATATCGCGCCCACACGGCAAAGCCTGGCAAGCTACCCGTGATGTATTCAATATGCCAAACACAGTAACAAGAAGTCTCAAAATGGAGACATTACTGGGCCCGCTCAAGCAAATCAATGAACAACAGGAGGACAGTGTTTGGCAGTATTTGGGTCACACCTGGAGATGCACAGGGATTACTCCTGGCTCTGCACTCAGGAACCAGGAATGGTGGTGCTCAGGGGACCATATGGGATGCTGGGAGTCGAACCCAGGTCAGCATCTTGCAAGGCAAATGCCCTCCCCGCTGTGCTATTGCTCCAGTCCCCAGATGTTGATTCTTTATGGACTTGTTATTCAAGAGGAGCTCTTAGACCAACATTATAATCATCCCAGGGGCCTGTTTAGAACTGCACAGTTTCCAGCCCATCACCCCCTGCTGAACTGGGATCTGGATTTGCTCTCCAGGTGGTCCACTGAACTTCTCAGTGAGGTCTCAGAAGCATTGCTTTGTTCCTGACAAAGGGAATCATCCCAGGGGATCATCCCAGGGCACAGAGCCAGAAGTAAGTCCTGTGCACAGTTGGGTGTGGTCCCAACAGAAAACAAAAATAAACATACAGAAAGAGCTCTTTGTAAGCCATCAGCATAAAGCTTGGGGCCTGAGGGTCTGAGGGAAGGGCTTGCCCTGCATGTAGCTAACTCTTTTGTTTGATCCCTGGCACCACACAGGGTTCCATGAGCACAAGGAGTGTTCCCTGAGCACAGAGAAAAGAGTAAGCCCTGAGCACCACTGGGTGTGAGCCAGCCCCACTCCCCCATCCAAATAATAGAAGCACTACTTTGAAAGACTCGGTATCCTGCTCAAGCCCCAAACCCTTCCCCATCAGGCTGAGACGGGCATTCTTGGTGCAAGTGTTTGCATCCCCCATATCAGATTAATGATGATGTAATGTTTACACTTTCATCCAAAAGCCTACAAGATGGCTTTGTCTTTGTCAAAATAAAGAACAAATGCTTCATTGTGGAATTAAATATTAAAAGAGGAGAGACAAGAAATTAATCTGGGACAGTAGAGTCTCAGGGGCATATTAATATAGGCTTCCTCTTCCCAATCCAGCCTTACTCGGGAAAGGACTGGAGAACAATGACAGGAAGGGTCGTCAGTGAAGAACTGTTAGTCTAACAGGTGCTCAGAGAAGGAAGGCACTGGTGTGGTAGGTTGGAGTGGGTCTACTATAGGGATTCAATGATAAGGGTTCTGCTAAGGTCACCTAGGTGGTTCGTAAGACCTCTGGAGTCCCCACTTTCAAACCAATGCCATTCATTGCTGAGAGCACCGGTGAGGAAGTCATGAAGGTCCAACTCTGGGCTGTCAGCTGCTTCCATTACCAATAGTCTTTGATTGCTGACTGGATTCTCATACCATCCACAGAGAAGAAGAGTTAGGCCACATGTTCACGGATGGGGGAGTGGTAGGTTAGATGGAGCAACAACATGACCAAAGAGGGGAACAGGGCCAGACGGAATGCAATGGAAGAAGGAGATGGGAAAGTTCATAACAGAGCTCAAAAAATATCAGAAAGTGGATCTGACTATATGGCAAGCATTTTCTGAAGGGAATAAAGAGGCAGAGCAATGACTTAGAAAGACAAATCTCTCTATATAAAATATATTTTACCTTTTTATTGATTTGTTTGACTTTTGACATCCAGGAGCACTCAAGACTTATTACTGGTTCTGGGCTCAGGTAGCACTCCAGATAGGCTTGGAGGACTATATGCAGTGCCAGGAATCAAACTTGGATCAGCCATATGCAAGGCATGTAACCTACCCGATGTTTTATTGCTCTGGCCCACATTTTACCTTTTTAAATCATATGTCTTTAGTTTGAGTTCAAACATGAATGCATTTTTTGGTATAAATTAAGAATTCAGTTGGCAGAATACACTTACTGACAGGATAAAATGAAATAAGTACCTGTTTTTGTCAAAGAGGTTACTGATGGACCCATTGAGCATCACATGGACCGTTCCACAGGCATCTTCTGCAAACTTAAAAACAAAGCACCAGCATTTTCAGCATGAAAACTTAGCTGCCATGCCCAGAAATTTCATCCATTTCAGTTATTATCATTAGCTTGTTAAAGTGGAAACACCCTGTTATGGTTTTAACTTAGTGATAATCAGCCGACTATCATTGACATCCCAAGCCATCGAAGGGATGTGCTCCATAGGAGATTTATGGAAGCAGTTGCTCACTCTACATTTTAACTGTGAAGATCAATGTTATCATTCACCTGGATACTAGATTGAGATTTAGAAATCATAAGTATAGATGAGTGAGAAGACATCACTAGAGGAGGAAGAGGAAAGGACTTTCTTTGACTCATGCAGTGTGGACACTACATATTTCACTTATTTAGAATAGGTTCGGGGATAATAGAAGTAGTAGCACCAAGAAATAGGAAATGTGGAGAAAAAGATGAGTCTGAAGCATAAGAGAAAGGGATATGGATGGATGGATGGATGGATGGATGGATGGATGGATGGATGGGTGGATGGATGGATGGATGGATATTAGTGAGCAAGAAGTTTCAGTCCTTCATGCAACTGAAATATTTGCTAAGCTTTGACCCCACTTCATGGATGACTGAAAAATTGAAAAGGAATACATATCAACTCAATGAGTCTCTCTTATAGGGTGATGAGCAAAAAACAAAGGTTTCATTATTATCAATTACAAATGCCAACTCAAAAGAGTGTATTCAGGATGCAACCATTGCTTACAATATAGAACTATCGAGAGCACCCACAAATCCAGTATTGGATCCACTGGGCCCACAGATAAAGGGGCTATTACTAGGAATCTTGGGGGCAAGATAACGGGGGTTGAAACCAGAAAGTACCAGTGGGCCAGAACAGTATCCATCCCCCAACTGTACCTCTAGCTCTGTGTCCCTAGCTCCAAGGACTCCAGGATGTACCACATACAACTTTGTACTTTGGTAGATTGTTATTTTTTTTATCTGCACCTTCATTTTACTATTTTCAAAATGGTTGTGACACTTACGATACCTACTTGTTCTTGAGGTTGAAAGATTTTAGTTTTTAAGAAGCTTCTGCACTTCCAAAGAAACAGTGACCAAAATACAAAGACAGTCTACAGAATGGGAAAGGATATTCGCCGAATACACATCTGACAGAATGGGAAAGGATATTCGCCGAATACACATCTGACACATCCTGGATATCCTGATATCCAGGATATACAAAATACTGGTTGAACTCCACAAGAAGAAAACATCCAACCCCATCAAAAAATGGGGCAATGAAATGAACAGAAACTTTCTCAAAGAAGAAATCCGAATGGCAAAAAAGCACATAAGAAAATGCTCTACATCATTAATCATCAGGGAGATGCAGATCAAAACCACAATGAGATACCATCTCACACCTCAGAGACTGGCCCACATTCAAAAGAACAAAAGCAACCGATGCTGGCGCGGATGTGGCGAGAAAGGGACGCTCCTTCACTGTTGGTGGGAATGCTGACTAGTTCAGCCCTTTTGGAAAACAGTATGAACGTTTCTCAAAAAATTAGAAATTGAGCTCCCATTTGACCCAGCGATACCAGTCCTGGGAATATATCCCAGAGAGGCAAAAATGTGTAGTCGAAGAGACATCTGCACTTGTTTGTTCATTGCAGCACTCTTTACAATAGCCAGAAACTGGAAGAAACCTGAGTGTACAAGAACAGATGACTGGCTAAAGAAACTTTGGTACATCTACACAATGGAGTACTATGTAGCTCTTAGAAAAGATGAAGTCATGAAATTTACATACAAGTGGTACAATATGGTAAGTATCATGCTAAGCGAAATGAGTCAGAAAGAGAGGGATAGACATAGAAAGATTGCATTCATCTGGGGGATATAAAGTAACAAAATATGAGATTAATACCCAAGAATAGCTGAGATCAACACCAGGATGATTACTCCATAGCTTAGAGGCCAGCCGGGTATTCTAGGGGAAAGGGCAGTTCAGATAGAGAAGGGAGCACCAAATAAAAGGTGTTTGGAGGATCCTCCCAGGAGGGGAGATGCATGTTGAAAGTAGACTATGGACTGAACATGTTTGCCACTCAATGACTCTTTTGCAGACCACAACACCCAAAAGGAGAGAGAGAACAAAAGGGAATGCCCTGCCACAGAGGCAGGGTGGGAGGGGGGGGATGGGGGGGATATTATCCATGGTGGTGGAAAATGGGCACTGGTGGAGGGATGGGTATTTGATCATTGTATGACCGAAACCCAAGCACAAAGATTTGTAAATCTACAACTGTACCCCATGGTGCTTCACTAATAAAAAAATTTAAAAAAAAGAAAGATTTTAGTTTTTGTATAGCTTGGGGCTCTTCCAAGCACATAGCAAGTGGCCTGTAAATGTAGATTTTTCGGATGCTTAGGAATCAATCAAATGCTTAGGAATCTATGACTGGTCAATACCCAGGTTCAGAGAATTAAAGACCAGAGGATGGTTGAAAGCAGATTCATCACCTGGAGTGCATGGACTCTTATTAAGTGCCCTAATACTCCATGTGAGACTCTTCTGGCATGTGCCTCGGGAAGAATTCCTAAATCTTGGTTCCCCAAAGCATCAATAATCCAAAGCAGTGAGAGCTAGGGCTTGGGGACGTGGTTCAAGGAGCAGAAGCCCTGCCTTGATATGGGAGACCCTGGGTTGAATCCCTAGCATTGCGTCCAGACAGCACCACCACCACAAGAATGAAAACCAGTCATGGGCTGTGTGGCCTCTCAAATTCCTGGGTCTCCAAAATTCTAGAATTTCCCTCTCGGTACCTACCCTTCTGGATGCTACATTCCAGAATACTGAAACGGCATTGGCATGACAGTCTTTCTTCCAGAGCGGGCAGGAGTGATAGTTCACTTCTAAAAGACAGAGTTGAGAGCAAAAAATGAACCAGGAGGGAAAGGGTATCATTCAGTGTCGCTCTTGGCCAGCTGTTCCAGCCAGCAGGGTCATTTCCAAGCGCCTCACTGCCAAGAGGGAGGCTGGAGAATGGACACATCATGACCCAGTTTCACTGAGTGTTCCCTGAACCCCTTCCAAGTCCTTATCCCGGCAGGAACCCAGGGCCTAGTGGGGGAGTCGTCATCATTATGGGAAATTACATCAAAAACTCACCTGACAGAATCCAGCATCATCCTTCACTGAGGAAGGATTAGATATAAAACAAGAGCTGGGCATGGAAAGGGTCATGTTCTGTTCAATCCCCTCTGGCTCCTAGACACTCATTCTGTGGACATTTTCCCTACCCACATCCCTAGGTTCCAATGGCTTCTGGGTCTTCCTCCTCTCGCTCCCGTCAAGACAGGTTCTGACAGGCGGCATAGACAGAGAGCATGAATATGTCCTTTCTCTTACTCCGCCCAGGCAACTGCTTTAATGCACGTCCTTATTTTTTAGTTTTTTCCTGTAGTTGACCCATCAAATTGTGCGATACTTAATTTGTTCCAGATAACAATCTAGTATACGGCCACATGGTGAAAAGGACCCCCACCCTACCTATCAATAAATTATCATATCCATCACCTCTCCTATTGACTTTTCTTTTAATGAGAAAATTTTGATTCGACTCTCTTAGCAAGTTCCAATGAGACAATACAGTGTCTCAACTGCAGTTCTACAATGTTATGTCCAGGGTTATACATTGGCACCTCAGACTTGATACATCTTATAGCTAGATGTTTGCACCCTTTGACCAAACTCCTTATCTCAATGTCTTGCCAGTCAGTCACTGGAAACCACTGTTCTACTCTTAGTTTCTGCGAGTTTGGTATTTTTATTCTGCTTTATATTCCACATGTAAGTGATATCACAGTATTTTCTTTCCTATAGCTCATTTAGCATGACGCCTTCTAGGTTCATCCCTGTGGTCACAAATAACAGGATTTCCTTCTCTTTTATGAATGAATGGGGGGCTGGAGCGGGTAGGGCATTTGCCTAGCACGCAGTTGACCAGAGTTCGATTCTCAGCATCCCATATGGTCCCCCCAAGCACTGCCAGGAGTGATTGCTGAGTGCAAAGCCAGGAGCAATCCCTGAGCATTGCCGGCTGTGACCCAAAAAGCAAGAAGCAAAAAGAAAGAATGAATGAATTTGACCACATGCACATTGGCTGTGTGTTAGGTCTAGGAGTAAAGAGATGAGATAGATGGAAACTCTACCCGAGAGATACACAAGCCGCAGAACCAACTAAATCAGAAAAAGATCAATGTAGTTTGGAGGCGGGATGCAGTGACAGTCGATGTTGAACTTGATTTTGAAAGACGAATAAGAGTCTGGCGACAGACGAGACAGAGAGTGTTGCTCTGTAGAGAGAGAACAGGAGCAAAAGTAGAGTTTGGAAACAGCGTGACAGCTTTTGAGGGTGACTGGCAGCACAGAGGGATAAGGTATGGCATGAAGAAGATGGCGCAGATGGAAGACAAATGTCCAGTCTACTAAGGAATTTAGATTTTAGCCAAGAAGCAAAAAAAGCCCGATAGGGTTTAGGCCAGAAGCAAAAGAGTGTCCTTTGGTGGTGGCCAGCTGGGGTAGACAGGAGCGGGAAGGAGTTGGCAGTGACTGTCTGGCAGTAACCCCACAGGGAAGGAAAGTGCATTTATATGCTCAAAGCAAGCAATGGCCACAGGGAGAGGGAAAAAAAGGCTTAGGAGCAGGGCACAGCTCAGAGAATGTAGGCTCTGCATCAGAGGCCCGGGTCTGTCCCCAGCACCACAAGGTCCCCAGGGCACCAAGAGGACTGGCCCCTGAGCACTAAGCCAGGAGAAGCCCCCAAGAGCTGTTGGCGATTCCCCACCACCACCCAAAAGAAGAGAACGAACTGCTAGAAAGTGGGCTGGTAACTGATTGGACTAGGTTAGAAGCACGAGTCCGTCCCAGGACAGATCTGGGAATATCTCGCTGTAACTTTGCATTGTCGCATAGGGAGGAAGGTGCAAGGACAAATCCCCTCGAACCCTTCCTTGTGCCCCCTTGTCGGGCTGCAGCTGCTACCCATCTCCTCTCTGGCCACATACACAGCAGAGACTAGAAAATACTCATCTTTCTCCTCCTACCTTGTTAGCAGTTGAATTGTGTGTCCCTTGCCCTCCTAAGTTTGAATTCCCGGATAGGGACTGTCCCCCTGTGCGTCCCTGGCCCAGCATCCAGCCTCACCAGAAGAGTCCGCGTCACCACACCAGTTGAGACCATCAGCCAGGTGACCCAGGAGCGTGTCCTCCAGCGTGAGAAAGTCTGTCTGCACCCCGGTGTACAGATGCACCAGTTCTCTGGTTTTGCTCCAAAAGAGGGTCTAGGAAGGAGAAGTTGTCCCTGTTACTGGAGTTTTAAAGAGAACAAAATTCCAGACAAAGTCATAGACTGAATATTGCCAATTAACCATTACAGATTTTATGCAAAATATTTTGCACAAAAGTGGGGTGCAATGACAATGCAGAAACTTTTTGTTTTGGAGTCACACCAGCAGTGCTCAGGGTACACTCCTGGCTCTGTGCTCAGTCCTGGCAAGCTTGAGGCAATACATGAGGTGTTCACAATCAAACCTGGGTCAGCCATGGGCAAGGCAAATGCTCTACCCATTTACTGTTGCTCCAGCCGCTGTAGAAACCTTTGCAATGTTATAGACCAATTTTTGGAGTTAAGAAAAGCATACTGGGGCCAGAGAGATAACACAGCAGATAGCCTTGCACACAGCCAACCCAGGTTCGATCTCTGGCATCCCTCAAGCACTGCCAGGAGTAATTCCTGAGTGCATGAGCCAGGAGTAACCCTTGAGCATCGCTGGGTGTGGCCCAAAAAAGCAAAAAAAAAGGGGGGGGGGGAATAAAAGGGTACAATGATTATGCAATGAAATATAATACAGTAAAGTAAGTGTCCAGCCATCACTATTTTGCACAAATGAGAATGTGTGTGCATGTGTGTGCACATGTGAATATGTGTATATGTGTGTAGTTTCTAAGGCATAATGTTAATTTTATTTATTATTTTAGGTTGCACTTTAAAAAATGTCTAAAAGGAGTCACTGCAGAAACTCCAAACTTCCCAAAGTTAGCTACGAATCTATTTCATCCCTGTGCTGCTTCCTAGGAGACATTCTCGTGGATCCCTAAGAAGCTCCTGGCTCCATTCTTTCCCCCGACCTTCCCTTTTTCCTACACAACACAAAAGGAGGGACAGAGAACAAACTGAGCATGCTTTCTTCAGCATCCTTGGCAAGATGCAGAAAGTCACGTTTATGAAGGTATTTCTGCTCTGAGGACTGGTTCCTTCTGTCCATGACCTGGCCCATCTTTCTGGCCTCCCTTCCTCAGGCATGCTAAGTCACGACGATGCTCAGGTGCCCCGTTAGACTCACAGGCTCCACCCCATCACCACAGACCCCGGAGCATCAGCTTCCCTGCCCATCATCCTCACCCAAATTCGCCCGTGACCTCTTCCTTCGGGCTTGCTGCTCCAATTTGAAAGATCAATAACTTGGAGCCAGAGGAATAGCACAAGGTTAAGGCACTTGTCCTGCATGCAGTCGACCTTGGTCCCATGCCCAGCTCCACACAGAGTACCCTGAGCACTGCCAGGCATGACCCTGGAGCACAGAGTCAGGAATAGAGCAGCAGGCCAGAGTGATAGTACAGCGGGGAGGGCATTTGCCTTCCATACGGGTGACGTGGGTTCGATTCCCGGCATCCCATATGGTCCCCCAAGCACTGCCAGGAGTAATTCTTGAGTGCAGAGCCAGGAGTAACCCCTGAGCATCGCTAGGTGTAACACAAAAAGAAAAAAAAAAGAATAGAGCATCTAAACACAGCCAGATGTGGCAAAAGACAAAAACAATAATAAATGACTTGATCTAGCTGGGCTGGAGCCATAGCACAGCGGCTAGGGCGTTTGCCTTGCACGCGGCCGACCCGGCCGACCCAAGTTTGATTCCTCTGCCCCTCTTGCCTGGCAAGCTACCAAGAGTATCTCGCCTGCACACCAAAGCCTGGCAAGATACCCGTGACATATTCGATATGCCAAACACATAACAATAAGTCTCATGATGGAGACGTTACTGGGCCCGCTTGAGCAAATCGATGAACAACGAGAGGACAGTGCTACAGTGCTACAGACCTAGTTACCTTGTCACAAGCTACTGTTTGATTCACCAACTTTATAAGTGGTTCATAGTCTTGTTCTGTCACGTGACAAGGGTTCTTAGAAAGGAATGCGTTCAGGAAAGCCGCCTCTATCTTTCGGCAGTCTCTGTCTCTGCGAGAGAACACACACACAAAAAAAAAAATGCAGCATGAGAATAGAACTTAAATTTTTGTTTCTTTGTTTGTTTGACTTTCCGGGTCATATCTGGCGATGCTCAGGGGTTATTCCTGACTCCGCACTCAGAAATTACTCCTGGCCATGCTCAGGGGGACCATATGGGATGCCGGGAATTGAAACCGGGTTGGCCACATGCAAAGCAGATACCCTACCCGCTTTGCTATCGCTCCTGCCCATAGAACTTACTTTTTAAAGCATCATTACCCCCAACTGCTCAAGTGGGCCCAGTAACGTCTCCATTGGAGACTTTGTTGTTACTGTGTTTGGCATATCGAATACATCACGGGGAGCTTGCCAGGCTCTGTTGTGCGGGCGAGATTACCCTCGGTAGCTTGCCGGGCTCTCTGAGAGGGGCGGAGGAATCGAACTCAGGTCGGCCATGTTGGCTGCGTGCAAGGCAAACGCCCTACCGCTGTGATATCGCTCCAGCCCTGGAACTCCAGCGCTGGAGCGATAGCACAGTGGGCTAGAGCGATAGCACAGCGGTAGGGCGTTTGCCTTACAAGCGGCCAACGTGGCCGACCCGAGTTCGATTCCTCCACCCCTCTTGGAGAGCCCGGCAAGCTACCGAGAGCCTGGCAAGCTACCCATGACGTAATCGATATGCCAAACACGGTAACAACAAGTCTCATGATGGAGACGTTACTGCGCCCGCTTGAGCAAATTGATGAACAACGGGAGGACCGTGGTTACCGTGGTTACCCCCAAAACCATTTCCTAGAGGAGGGAGGTATTTTGTGCCCAGTGGTCTGCTGGGTCCCCCTCAGCTGTGCTTTTCAGTGAGAGGAGTAATGTTTTCCTGGCTCTCAGCCACAAAGACAGTTAACCAAAACAAGCTGATGGCTGTGAGGCACTTCAGGGAGGCTGATCACCTAAGGACCCCCTGAGAGGTCTTTCATGCAATGAAGAGGCTCAGGTTCCAAACACAGGCTGCTGCCATGCAAAGGCCCTGAGACCCACAAGAACTTGCTGATTTCCAACAACTGAAAGACCAACTCCACAACTGCAAGGTAAAGGAACAGTGGGGGGGGGGGGGGGGGGGAATAGCTAGAAATCAAAACACGTTGGAGAGATAGTACAGCAAGTAGAGCGTTTGCCTTGCATGTGGCCAACTGGGTCTTGATCCTTGGTCCCTGGAGACTGCCAGGGTTGCTCCCTGAGCACAGAACTAGGAGTATGCCCTAAGCACTGCCAGAGTGCTCCCACCCCACAAGAAGAAAGAAGAAGAAGAAGAAGAAGAAGAAGAAGAAGAAGAAGAAGAAGAAGAAGAAGAAGGAGGAGGAGGAGGAGGAGGAGGAGGAGGAGGAGGAGGAGGAGGAGGAGGAGGAGGAGGAGGAGGAGGCAGAGTTTGGGATTCGGTGACTTGCCCACTGATCAGGCTGCCTTAGCTGTCCCCCAAGAAACTTTACATTAGATTTCATTCCCCCAGAAGGAGACGTTCCTACAAGAACCCAAGGCCCCAGAGTTGCTGGGAATTTTACCCCCAGGTGATGGGATAAAGTAGGAGGGGTTAGAGAGATGACAGAGGGTTCAAGCTTATGCCAAGGTGACAATCTCTGCCCACTGCCTTCTCAAGACCTCATAAGGTGAAATTCCTCTCAGCCCAGAGAAAACAGGAAGCAAGCGGATTCCAATTGAAGGCCACTGGAACCTGGTGAAACAGTTGAAGACTGCCACCTCGTGGAAGCGGTGATGCACTTCTCTTGAAAAAATTGTCTTGAGGCCGGAGCAATAATAATACAGTGGGGAGGGCGCTTCTCTTGACCACGGTGGACTAGAGTTAGATCCCCAGCATCCCATATAGTCCCCTGAGCCCACCACACACACACACACACACACACACACACACACACACACACACACACCCTAAGATATTGTTTTGATCTTTTATCTCTTCCTCCTTTCCTTTGTGGCTGAGATGCTGCCCTGAGCAGGAATCACGCTAAAAGGGAGAGAGGCCCAGGCAGGGAGACCAGTAATCTGGGCAAAGGTCAACAGCAATTTGGACCAGAGTGGTAACACTGGAGGAGGGAGGCGAGAGATGGGGAGGGGGGGAAGGGTGGGGAAAGGAAGGGAGGAGAGGGGAAGGGAGAAAAGGGGAGGGGAGGAGAGGGAAGAGAAGGTAGATTCTGGAACCATTACAAATGGACCGTGGAATGCTAAAGAGCTAAGGAACCGCTGGTGATTACAAGCTTTGAGAACTGAGGCACTAGAAGGAGAGGCTTGCTGGGATGCAAATGCAACCAGGTGCAGTGACAGGAACTTCGCTTTGGACTCCCTCAGTTGAATGTGTCTCTTGACAGGCAAATGCGGCTTTGGAATGGATGGGTGTAGAAGCGGCTGCCTTGCAAACGCCAGGCCCCAAGTTCCATCCCCAGAGTTGCCCCATGTTCCCAGTGGCTCTGATCTTCATGCCTGGTCGTTCTGCTGACTGAAACACAGCGCTGTGAGCAATTTCTAGATACATTTTAGCCAGCTGTGTGCAAGCACCTCAACTAAAAGGGCTGTCGCCCAGACAGACAGACACTGAAAAGCTCTTTAGTACCAAGGTTACCAGGAAGGAGGGAAGAAGGGAGGGAGGGAGGGAGGGAGGGAGGGAGGGAGGGAGGGAGGGAGGGAGGGGGGAGGGAAGGGGAAGGGGAAGGGGAAGGGGAAGGGAAAGGGGAAGGGAAGGGGAGGGGAGGGTAGGGTAGGGGAGGGGAGGGGAGGGGAGAGGAACGGAGGGGAGGGGAGGGGAGGGAAGGGGAGGGGAGGGAAGAGGAGGGAAGGGAAGGGAAGGGAAGGGAAGGGAAGGAAAGAGAAGGGGAGGGGAGGGGAGCAGAGTGGAGGGGAGGGGAGGGGAGGGAAGGGAAGGGAAGGGAAGGGAAGGGAAAGGAAGAAGGGAAGGAAAGGGAAGGGGAGGGAGGGGAGGGAAGAAAAGGGAAGGGAAGAAGGGAAGGGAAGAAGGGAAGGGGAGGGGAGCGGAGGGGAGGCGAGGGAAGAGGAGGGGAGGGAAGGGAAGGGAAGGGAAGGGAAGGGAAGGGAAGGGAAGGGAAGGGAAGGGAAGGGATGGAAGGGAGGGAAGGGAAGGGAAGGGGAGGGGAGAGGAGGGGAGGGGAGGGGAGGGAAGAGGAGGGAAGAAAAGGAAAGGGAAGGGAAGGGAAGGGGAGGGGAGGGGAGGGAAGGGAAGGGAAGAAAAGGGAAGGGAAGGGAAGGGGAGGGGAGGGGAGGGAAGGGAAGGGAAGGGAAGGAAAGGGAAGGGAAGGGGAGGGGAGGGGAGGGGAGAAGAGGGGAGGGGAGCGGAGCGGAGGGGAGGGGAGGGGAGGGAAGGGAAGGGAAGGGAAGGGAAGGGGAGGGGAGAGGAGGGGAGGGGAGGGGAGAGGAGAAGAGGGGAGAGGAGCGGAGGGGAGGGGAGGGGAGGGGAGGGGAGGGGAGGGGAGGGAGGGAAGGGAAGGGAAGGGAAGGGAAGGGAAGGGAAGGGAAGGGAAGGGAAGGGAAGGGAAGGGAAGGGGAGAAGAGGAGAGGGGTGCGGAGGGGAGGGGAGGGAAGGGGAGGGAAGGGAAGGGAGGGGAGGGAAGGGAAGGGAAGGGAAGGGAAGGGAAGGGAAGGGAAGGGAAGGAAAGGGAAGGGGAGAAGAGGGGAGGGGAGCGGAGGGGAGGGGAGGGAAGGGAAGGGAGGGAAGGGAAGGCAAGGGAAGGGAAGGGAAGGGAAGGGAAGGGAAGAAGGGAAGGGAAGGGAAGCGAAGGGGAGGGGAGGGGAGGGGAGGGAAGGGAAGGGACTGGAGGGAAAGGGAAGGGAAGGGGAGGGGAGAAGAGGGGAGCGGAGCGGAGGGAAGGGAAGGGGAGGGAAGGGGAGGGGAGAGAAGGAAAGGGGAGGGGAGGGGAGCGGAGGGGAGGGGAGGGGAGGTAAGGGGATGGGAGGGAAGGGAAGGGAAGGGAAGAAGGAGGGAAGGGAAGGGAAGGGGAAGGGGAGGGAGGGAGGGGAGGGGAGGGGTGAAGAGGGGAGGGGAGCGGAGGGGAGGGGAAGGGAGTCGAGGGGAGGGGACGGAAGGGGAGGGGAGGGAAGGGAAGGGAAGGGAAAGGGAGGGAAAGGGAAGGGAAGGGAAGGGGAGGGGAGGGGGAGGGGAGGGGAGGGGAGAAGAGGGGAGGGGAGCGGAGGGGAGGGGGAGCCGAGGGGAGGGGACAGAAGGGGAGGGGAGGGAAGGGAAGGGAAGGGAAAGGGAGGGGAAGGGAGAGGAGCAGAGGGGAGGGGAGGGGAGGGAAGCGGAGGGGAGGGAAGGGAAGGGAAGGAGGAGGGAAGGGAAGGCAAGGCAAGGGAAGGGAAGGGAAGGGAAGGGAAGGGAAGGGAAGGAAGGGAAGGGAAGGGAAGGGAAGGGAAGGGAAGGGAAGGGAAGAAGGGAACTGAAGGGGAGGGGAGGGGAGGGAAGGAAAGGGAAGGGAAGGGAAGGGAAGGGAAGGGGAGGGGAGGGAGGGGAGGGGAGAAGAGGGGAGCGGAGGGGAGGGGAGGGGAGCCGAGGGGAGGGGACGGAAGGGGAGGGGAGGGAAGGGAAGGGAAAGGGAGGGGAAGGGAGAGGAGCAGAGGGGAGGGGAGGGGAGGGAAGCGGAGGGGAGGGAAGGGAAGGGAAGGGAGGGAAGGCAAGGGAAGGGAAGGGAAGGGAAGGAAGGAAGGGAAGGGAAGGGGAAGGGAAGAAGGGAACTGAAGGGGAGGGGAGGGGAGGGGAGGGAAGGAAAGGGAAGGGAAGGGAAGGGAAGGGAAGGGGAGGGGAGGGAGGGGAGGGGAGAAGAGGGGAGGGGAGCGGAGGGGAGGGGAGGGGAGCCGAGGGGAGGGGACGGAAGGGGAGGGGAGGGAAGGGAAGGGAAGGGAAAGGGAGGGGAAGGGAGAGGAGCAGAGGGGAGGGGAGGGGAGGGAAGCGGAGGGGAGGGAAGGGAAGGGAAGGGAGGGAAGGGAAGGCAAGGGAAGGGAAGGGAAGGGAAGGCAAGCGAAGGGAAGGGAAGGGAAGGGAAGGGAAGGGAAGGGAAGGGAAGGGAAGGCAAGGGAAGGGAAGGGAAGGGGAGGGGAGGGGAGGGGAGGGAAGGGAAGCGAAGGGGAGGGGAGGGGAGGGGAGGGGAGGGAAGGTAAGGGACGGGAGGGAAAGGGAAGGGAAGGGAAGGGGAGGGGAGGGGAGAAGAGGAGAGCAGAGCGGAGGGAAGGGAAGGGGAGGGAAGGGGAGGGGAGTGAAGGGAAGGGGAGGGGAGGGGAGGTAAGGGGATGGGAGGGAAGGGAAGGGAAGAAGGGAACTGAAGGGGAAGGGAGGGGAGGGAAGGGAAGGGAAGGGAAGGGGAGGGGAGAAGAGGGGAGGGGTGCGAAGGGGAGGGGAGGGGAGGGAAGGGAAGGGAAGAAGGGAAGGAAAGGGAAGGGGAGGGGAGGGGAGGGGAAGCGAGGGAAGGGGGAGCGGAGGGGAGGGGAGGGAAGTGGAGGGGAGGGAAGGGAAGGGAAGGGAAGGGAAGGGAAGGGAAGGGAAGGTAAGGGAAGGGAAGGGAAGAAGGGAAGGGAAGGGGAGAGGAGGGGAAAAGAGGGGAGGGGAATGGAGGGAAGGGAAGGGAAGGGAAGGGAAGGGAAGGAAGGGAAGGGAAGGGAAGGGAAGAAGGGAAGGAAAGGGAATGGGAGGGGAGGGGAGGCGAGGGGAGGGGAGGGGAGGGAAGGGAAGGGAGGGACGGGAAAGGAAGGGAAGGGAAGGGAAGGGAAGGGAAGGGAAGGGAAGGGAAGGGAAGGGAAGGGAAGGGAAGGGAAGAAGGGAAGGAAAGGGAAGGGGAGGGGAGGGGGAAGGAAGGGAAGGGAGGGACGGGAAAGGAAGGGAAGGGAAGGGAACGGAAGGGAAGGGAAGGGGAGGGGAGGGGGGGAGGGGAGGGAAGGGAAGGGAGGGAAGGGAAGGGAAGGGAAGGGGAGGGGAGCGGAGGGGAGGGAAGGGAAGGGAAGGGATGGGGAGGGGAGCGGAGGGGAGGGGAGGGAAGGGGAGTGGAGGGAAGAAAAGGGAAGGGAAGAAGG